TAAAACTCCTCACACCACTTAGCAAAGTCACCGATCACTGGGCCAAGTTTGTTTTCATTTTGTTGGTGCAAAATCGTCAGGGTGCTTTACAGTGAATCTGGTTTTAGATTGATTGGGGGTTGTGATTTGACAGATATCATATATATATATATATATATATATATATATATATATATATAAGTAATTTAATATAATCTAATATAATTTATATATCATTTTACATCCCATTTAAGTATGTTTAACCCTCCAATATTTAAAAAAATTAATCTAAAATTATATACATTGTTGGAGTCAATAGTTTGAGTGATGTCTAAATGTCACCTTGTGAGTCCAAAAAGGAAAACGCCCTGAAAAGACTACAACTCTAACTCTACACCTAATGGCTGAAAAAGGAGACACATTTTTCTCTTAAATGAGAAGGATTGCAGAAGTATTTCTGACTGTCTGACTCTCTCAAAGCAAAAATAGAAGACAGTGTGAGATGACTGAAAACCTTAGCATCATGTTATGTGGTTCACATCTTCTCTGTCTTGCTCACTCGGTCACACGCTGTTCTTGCCACCTTGCACAGCGCTTTCTGCCAAGTGTGATTTCACCAGGGCGGTCAGAAGGGGTTTCTAGGGCAACCTCACAGAGGCCTTGTTCTAAAAATGGCCACCATGGTTACTCTGAAAGCCAACTCTGGCCTCTTGAACATGCACTGAAAAGAGGCGAGAGCGCCACTCTGGGAAGGGAGCTGGGTGGATTGGGTAAAGGGGGGGAAACCAGGCTCTCTAATAGCTAGCACATGAGACACTGAAGTTTTCATACCCACCCAGCCAGGGGTTTTGGGAGGTGGGTGTCTGTGTGTGTGCCTAAACAGTAATATCCCTGTACTCAGCGCTTGGCTAAATTAAAAGGGCATTTCTGGCACAAGGGGCATTTTTTGGTGCCCAGACGATTGGACGGGGAAAGGCGAAACTCATTACCTACCCATCTGTCAGAGAGTGAGACTGAAAGAGCTGTGGGAATGTGGACTGATGAAGGGAGGGAAGGGGCAGGGACGGGAGGGGGATGCAAAGGGCTTGGAAGGTGAAAGAGTGAAAATGTCCGATAGAGCAGAGTAAAACATGACAAAGCCTCCCCACCCCTTAAAACCCGCAAGTCTTTTATCTCTGGTCAGGGTTTTCATGTGTTTTGAATTTTAAAGTGGATGATTTTCCTTTTCAGAAAGAAAACATTTGCAAAAGAAGGTACAGCTGCCTTTGTAACCTTTTGCTCAGTGTGTGTGTGTGTGTGTGTGTAAGCTTGCATCTGAGGGTGATTTTTCTTTGAGCTCTCTCAGTTCCCACATGTTTTTGATCTATTTTTTTATTTATTTTTTTTCCAGCTCAACCAGGGGCCACTCTTGAAAGTCTCTTCACACAAACAAACCGCACAAGCAAACACACGCATATCCACACGAAAAAAAGGTATCACCGAGTCTCAAACGTTCATTTGAGTGGCGTCGTTGTTAAATAAGTTACCCCCCCCACACACAAACACACCCTCCATGGACCAGCTGCGGTGTGCGAACCTTTTTGTCTCGTTTAGGATTGTTTCAGCGCAGCTCCTTGTTTCCCTCCGTCTCCCGCAGTTGTAGACATCCAAGCTTTGATCACTGCACATGTGAAGTGCTGCCATAGTCGATCCACACCCCTCTTCTGTGGATATTGTTAACGAACACGTGCTTCCTCTGCCAGCTGGCTTTCAGAAGGGGAATGCATATCTCTGTGGCACAATGTTGTGCAGGTCTGCCTTGCTGCATATTTATAGCTAACACCCTATACTTCTGCAGATACAGAACAACCAAACCCATTGGCACATTGTGTCATCCAGTCATCCTTGTTTTCATTGCCTTATTAATCCTTGCAGTCCTAGAACAGTGGACAAGGGGCAGGTTGGGACCAGTTTATTGGGTTTCTTGTGACTATGAAAGAAAGCAGAAATACCGGAAGGAAATGCATCGATTCACAAAAAGATTAGCAAACTCCACACAGAGGGCGCCATGCTGCCATGCAGAACCTGCAACTTCACTGTTCCTCCATGGTGCAGCTATCATGTTTTATAATTGTGGACTTCAGGGTACACAAATCTCGAGAAAGTAATTATAAATGACCCTAGCAAAAAGCTTATGCTCAAATGTGTGTGTGCTTGTGTATTAGCATCAGAATAAAGACCACTTTTTACTTTTTCACTATTAAACTGAGGACAGTTTCCTGGTCCTGACTTTGTTAATGGTCAGGTTTATGACTAAGGTATAAACTGGGTTTAAGGTTAAGGTTAGAGTATGCACTGGTAATGTTAGATGAGGATTCTTGTGATGGTGAGGCTACAGAAGGGTTTAAAAAATGACTGAAAATCAATTTAAATCAGACTAAAATTTTAATTTTAGGGAATTTTATGTAATAATACAAAAGAACCATTTACCTTTCGACTTACACTGTGCCGGTTTAGCACATTTATTTGAATTTTTCAAGTTGTAGAAAAACTTAAAGGTATATTGGAGGATTTTCACAAAGACCCACCCTCTTCACTTAAAAAAAATAATGCACATGCGCAACCCTGTACCCGTTCGTGAGAAGAAACGCCTTTTAAACACGTGCGAGAGCATGCACAAGCCCATTTCTCCTCGTGCTCAGCACGCTCTTTTTAAAAATTGCTGTATTTCCACTATGCCAGACTCAACGCCAGTAAGTGAAAATGGGGACGAGCACGTAGGACGGACTTACGTAAACATATCACCAGAATGATTGACAATTAGGAGGACCACTTATTTTGATGATCCACCCGGAAAATGAACGTCCTTTTCTATACCATTAGGTCAATGTACAGATGTTGTTATGCACAGCATAGGATCCGTTAACACAATTTTATTTTAATGTATATCCTGAGCGTTGATTCTTTTGTTTACCTGCTACCTTGATCTGACCTCTGTTTAGCTTGTTTGTGCATCCACTTTCATCCATAACCCATTAAAAATGTAACTCTTGCTCCTCCCTTCTTACAAGAAAAAACCTTTGATATTTATATGCACTAAGATGTGCTTTGCACGGAGGCTATGTAGGCACTCAGCCCTTTGATAAACATATTAAAGATATGTATGTCTATGCCTGCTGCACATGAATTTCACATGTTTCTCCTGAGCGCATAAATGCATTCATGAAGCTGCTTCTAACCCCTCCCATTATTAATAAGTCATGATCTCACACTGCGTCCCAGCGCTTGTGCACACGCCTTCATCTTTCATGTGCCCACGAGTGTGTGTTTTACAGCACAGCAGGGGGACCCCACCTGGCTCATTCATATTCATTCCTGTATAATGAGTAGCCACGCCTCCGGATAACGCAGTCAAGGCGAGATCAAACAATATTTTCGAACAAGAGTCTGTATAATTCATGCTGGGACAGGCATGCTGGCTTCTACGCCTCTTCTCTCGATTCCTCCTGTTGTGCATCAGGATTTTCTCTGTCTTATTAACAAGTGACAGTAATGCATTTTCAGATGCATCACATAAAATTTGTCCCTTTGTTTCCTTTTTTTATTTAATTTTTTGATGATTGTCACAATAATAAAAAAATTTGAGATCAGACCAATATAGGTAGAGGAACATATCAGCCTTCTACCAACTAATATTACACAGTATGTGCACTAAATAACTCGGTTGGGCCCCTTTTTGTATCAATTAGTACATCAGTGCAGCATTGCAGGTATGTGATTAGCGGGTCGTTCTGCATAGGTGTAATGCAAGCCCAGGTTGCTGTGAAGGCTCCTCAGGTTTTCTACATCATCTTCCTAACAATACTCCATTGATTCTCAATGGGGTTTGGTTAAAGTTATGTTTTCCGGTCAATCGAGTGCAGTAACACCATGGCCACTTAATCAGGTTTTTGTACTTTTGGCAGTTTAGCCAAGGATCATGTCCTACTGGAAAAAACCGGAGGTACTTTTAAAGTGTCCGGGATGACAGCTTGGTCGACTTTGGACTTAATAAAAGACAGCAGACCAACACCAGCAGTTGATGTGACTCCCAGAATCATCACCGAATGCAGAAACATGTTTTTGGACCCCCAAAAAATGGAGTCTTCTCGGTGTGAGGAACCCATCCAGAGCACTCAATTTGTTTGGATTTTATTTTTTACCTGAATTATTGAGATGCATCAGGAGAGCCTGAACACAACCTGACAGCCTGTGCCTCTCCTGTCTTCCTTCGGACTCTGGAGCCTTGGTTTGAAATCTAAAATAAATCACCACACACACATAGACCCATCATGTGGGGTGACCAGTGGAGCTCTGTTCACACCTTGTAAATCACACCTCCTCCCCTTTAAAAAAATGGATTTTCTTTAAACCCCTTTCAAGGCTGATTATTTTTTCTTCCACCCAGCTTTCCATCAAAGTCCTTGAATACAGCAGTTTAGTGATAGTCAGCTTTCTTTAGCAATGACCTTTGGTGGCCTGCTCTCCTCATGGAGGGTATCAATAACTATTTACTTAAAAATGACCAACAGTCTGCCTCATGATTATGTCGACCATGACATCATTATAACAATAAAGTTGGTTGTTTTTTTTGCCTGAAAATGAAATGCTTAATTGTACTTAAGTGTTAAAACATTTTCTTAGAAACTGAGTTTAGGTTTTTCTTTAGCTATAAGCCATAATTATCTAAATGAACTGAAATAAGCACCTACATCTGTGTTATAAGCTATTCAGCTGATATTTTGGGCTGATAATTTAATTAAGATGCACATGTATTAACATCTGGGGCATGTATTTACTGATATGGGATTCAGTTGATCAAGTGATCTAATCTGCAGATGTCGATTTCCTGAGTTTGTTGAGTTTTTATTTATAGAAATAATTGTTTAAATTGGTTTTTAAATTGTTTAAAAAAATATAACATCCAATACCCTCACCTTACTACTAACAAAAAGTAATTACTTGTAAAATTCACCCCTTTTTTTTGTTCTGTACTTTACCAGGCTTCCACCTGAGCGGCACGGTGACGGACCCCGCCACGCCTTCATCCCCGGAGCTCGTCTGCAGCGTCAGTGTCAGCTTTGACCGCTGCAAGATCACCGCCGTAACGTGCACATGCGGTAACAAGGACATCTTCTACTGCGCCCATGTGGTGGCGCTGTCGCTTTACAGGGTACGCAAGCCTGAGCAGGTCAAGCTGCACCTGCCCATCTCGGAAACCCTGTTCCAGATGAGCAGAGACCAGCTGCAGAAGTTTGTCCAGTACCTGATATCGGTCCACCACACTGAGGTGTTGCCCACAGCACAGAAACTGGCTGATGAGATCCTGTCCCAGAACTCGGAGATCAACCAGGTCCATGGTGAGGAAACCAGTGGGTTTTTAGAGGATGGTTAGGTTAGTGTGCCCATGTGTAGTTGACATGTGCTTTCCTGCCTCCACATGCATATATTAGATATTGATTGTGTGATGAAGGTAAAGTGTGGCAGGATCAATATTACTTATAAATGAGATCCATGAAGCAGAGCAGAGGCTGTAATCAACACTATAGACCAGTTTGCATCTTAAAAGGAAGACGGGGTGGGGGGGTGGGGGGGGATAAGAAGCCATGCAAAAGCAAGAAAGAAAAACCCACAGGGGCTGGAAATGTAAGAATAAGAAGAAATAAGATGAGCTACTGCTGAGCAGGTCTGACAAGAAAAAAAAAAGACATCAGAAATAAAGACTCAGGAAACAGACTTGAAGGAAGGAAATATGAGGAAACAGAGGGAGGGAGACATGAAAAATAAGTGTCAGAGGCAGAGACACGAGCAAAGATATCTGAGAGATCAAAGAAACCTTTTAACCTTCGGAGTAAATCTCTGGAAAATGCAAACCAAAAGTCGTCTTCACAGTCTGTGTCCAGAGCTGCTCTGTCGCACGTGTGCAATGAAGCAGGAGATTGTTCAGTTGGAATGGATTCTACAACCTAGAAAACAGACGGACTTCTGAACAAAGCCAAATAAACGTTGACCCTTTTTAGGGCTAGTATCGATACTCTGGATCTGTACATTCTTACATAATAAAAGAAAAAAACTTCATCAGCATTCCTCAGTTTCCCTAAAAAATAAACTACTCCACTTTGAAAGTCTTAAAGAATAGATCCCTGCATTAAAAGTTACATTTTAAATGAAACATTATGTTTTATGCAAATCCTGAAGCAAGATCTTTCAACCTAAATGTTACCAAATAGAATACTGCTTCGCTCTGCCCATTTTCTGACACTCCTGGTAAATATTTGTAAAAATTCTTAGAATTTTCTTTTTTTTTTTTTTTTCAATTAGGGAAACATATTTTGTCAACCTTTAATTTTAATTGATAGAATTGTTGGTGTAAACATTCTTTATGTTGAGAAATAACTCATTTTTTCTGTTGTTACCAAAAAAGTTGGTATTATATTTTTTCCCCTAAAAATTCCTATTAAAATACCTTTATCTGAATCATTTCATAATCCAATAATCCAATCCTTCCGTTTCTGTAAATATGAGAATTCATTGTCTCACTTTTTTTTAATGAACTCTGAAAATTCAAAAGACAAAGTAAATTGCAAGAAATAGCAGCTTCTCTCAATAATACCGCTTTACAGTCAAAGCAATAATTAAAAAGTTTAGGGCTGAAACATTTAATGGGATTAATCGTGATTAATCAATTATTGAAATAATTGTCAACTAATTTAGTAATCGATTAATACTTAACTGGAGTATAGAGACTCATTCTTTTAGCTGACAGGGCAACCCACTCAGAGCAGTAATCATACTAACATTGTAAAAAAAAAAAATAATAATATGTAAACATTGTGCATAAGATAAAAAAATATTTTTCGTGTGTCTATATGGTCTATCCAGAACTCCTCAAGTGAAAAAGTTTTAGTTTAACCTCGTTAAATTTAATAAAAGGTGTTCTTTAAGGAACATTTTGCTATCCGATTACTTGAAAAAATAATCGACAAATTAATCAATTTGCAAAATAACAGTTAGTTGCAGCTCTAAACAAGTTTAAAAGTATAAAATATGTGACAAACAAGCCTGGATGAGGAGCGAAGAGAGCGAGATGTTAAATGAAAAAAACAAAAAAAAAGCCTCCTGTTGGAGAGGGTCAGCAGAAAGCCGGATCTAAATCTGTAGTCAAAATTTTGGATAAGAGATAAAATGTGCTTTATTTATTTACAGTATTCATTTATCTACATACGTATAACATTCATTTAAATTATAAAGTTTTGATTGAATTAAATACATTTTGAGCTTGACCTTACCAATTCTCCATAACAACAGTTTTGTTAAGGTTTTTTATACTTTTCTACCGAAAGTTTTTCATTGCTTATGCTGAGAATATTTAATATACTTTATATATATATAAATATATATATATACTTGGTCTACAACTGTATTTCTAAATATATTTTTTAACTTTAATTATGCCTTTAATAACTTTCTGGAAAGTTTATTTTTTTATTCTCTTAAACCAAGTCATGGGTAAATATAGATCTTTTATCTTGTCATGGTGGGAATTAAGTTTGTCGCATCTGCTGAGGCTATATTTGTCATCAAAACAAAAGGCAATGAGGAAAAATTTAGTCCCACTTTAAAGTGCTTCACACTGGAATGTTTCTATGCCTGTATAGGGGCCCCGGACCCTACAGCGGGAGCCAGCGTGGACGACGAGAACTGCTGGCACCTGGACGAGGAGCAGGTTCAGGAGCAAGTCAAGCTTTTCCTGTCCCAGGGAGGCTACCACGGCTCAGGAAAGCAACTCAACCTCCTCTTTAGCAAGGTCTGAACCGCGTTGACTTATCCACACCCAGAACAGAAAAGCACTCACCATCAGCTCGTCTATGTTTCTAAGCTTGCTCACCTTGAGCCATGGGTCCCTCTAATAGATATTTTCTCCCACTCTCTTTTTCATTTGCATTGTCCTTTGCTTCCTCTCGTAATGGGAATAAAAGAGAGCACAGAATGCGCATACATTAAAAGGCAGGCTGTGTCGTAAGGCTGATTGTAGGAGTGAGTGAACAGAAAGAGAGAAAAAACAAAGTATAGAAAGCGAGAAGCCTTGCACTACACACTGTATATTAAACCCTTTCATGAGAGATGTTTGCCTCAGTCAGTTGGCTGCTATTACAGTTACTGAGCTGGGCCAGCATTAATGCATTGTGTGCTTCATAAAGACCACAAGCCAAGGCCATTATCATCTAGCTTGCCTGGCTTTTAAAAAGTCTCTCAGCTTCATGCACTTTGAAGCTTAAATGTCTGCCTTAATATAACACACACACAATAATCGAGTAAGTCACGTTTTCTCAGCCACCTTGCACAGATCCTGAAACTCCCACACAGAGCTACCTCTGCACACCTCTACCTATACCCACCCCCCAAATGTTAGCAATCTGTTCTCGCCATTTTTAATTTTTTGGTCTTTTTCTCTGACCTCTTGCTCTGAATAATGTGCAAACTCTTTCAGAATCTGCAGGGAATAAGCCAATAACTTATGAAACAGATTTAAAAGGTGTTTGATGTGATTTCAAGTTAAGCAGAGAAGAAAATCAAAGGTCAAGGGTAGTTAGCTCTCAAAAACAGTTCAGAACAAATTTAAGCAAGATACAACCAGAGGAATTTTGTCACGACACCCATTCAGCCATTTTTTTTCTTTTTCTAAATGATTTATTGAGTTGACCATGAAAGCAGGCAGTTTATGGAGGCTGGCATGTCTTTGATACGTTTTGTGCAGGTTCTGTTCATGACTGGCTGCATTGTTTTTATTTATATTCCAAATTTGAGTTCTCACATTGCTCATGAAAAAAGAAATGAAGCCAAAGTTTGTCTGATCTTTGAGGTAATTGAGGTCATTTGGGTCCTGGGAAAATAAAAGAAAAAGCACTGTATTGAAGCAAAAATCTATATTTTTAACAATGGAAGTGTCATAGATCGATGTGTGTAAGAGTGATGGGCTGTTTTCGGGGTTTTACAAATTTAATATCTATAATCAAACTATTTACTTTGTCACTTTGAGGGGCCCCAAAAGTTGTCCGGTCACATCGCGTTTTTTTCCCCAGCTGTCTGAAGCAATACAGGATCTCCACCGAATGCTGCTGTGCACTGCCAGTCAGCCCGCTGAAAGAGGCGTGCTACACTTTTGCTCGAATTAGATTTTATGTTTTCATTCTGAAACAGCTTTAATATATAACTAAGATTAAACTGGACTGTTCCTGACAATTTTTTGTGTACCGTAACTGGATTATGTTAAAAATGTTAATTCTTAAATGTTTACTTCAAAAAAAGTTCCTCCAAATGACATATGAATCAATGTTATTTAAGTAAACCAAACAGTGCAAAGTTGACGATTTTCGATCAAAACTATATGGAAAGCCTTTATTGGGAAACAACAGTCAAACTTCTCATGACTTTAAAGGAATTACTTCCTCGTCTCCAGTGGTATCCCTAACCTTTAGCTTCCTCCACAGATTATTAATTAGGATCAGTTCAGGATCAGTTCAGTAAATAAATAAGGTCCTTAATCTTATATACTTTTTGTGTTACACTACTTTTGAATTAATGGTGTAAAAGAGCTGCATCTTGTTTTTAATTAAAATAATTTTACATTTCTGGCTACATATTGGATGGATGTACTGGATCCCAAATTTAACACAGTCTCTTCTATCATTTAAACTCTTATTGTTGTTCAGAAATGACAAGATTCTGATAGATAATTGTTTTCAATATTCATTTGAAGATTTATAAATAAAAACCAAACACTGCTCTCCCACCATACAAGGGAGACTTCAAATGCGAAGGGGACAGGATGAGCTCTCCAACATGCATGGCCTTTTAAATGCCTCTATGAAGATAAAGAAATAAGCAAATGTTGCAATAATCTTCTTACATTCTAGATTGCAGAATTTTTAAAGAACCATCCTGGTATAAACTGCCAATGTCTCCCACCTCTCTGTGTGTAGGTGAGGGAGATGCTGAAGATGCGTGACTCCAACGGAGCGAGGATGTTAACACTGATCACGGAGCAGTTCATGGCCGACCCTCGGCTGGCGCTGTGGAGACAGCAGGGCACCACCATGACCGACAAGTACAGACAGCTCTGGGATGAGCTTGGTAAGGGGAGGGGGGGACACACACACACACACACATATACCACCCTCTGTAAGCACAGGCACTGACAGATTTAGCAAGATGGGTGATCGAACCCAGACAGTGACACAAAGGCACACAGACGTATTTTTGTCTCTGTTTGTTTTCTTGTGCTTTTGTGTCCAAGAAAGCCCACAGTCTCAGATGCGCTGACAGCCCAGTTTCTCTCTCTCTCTCTTCGCTGTGACTGTAGGTTTGGCAGCTCTCTTCTTGGATTAAAAGCCATTTAATGCGGCACACTGAGCCTCACCTCTGCAGTGTTTTCAAACACTTCTCATTATATTTCTGGTGGATGTGAAGGAGCGCTGCTCAGCACACACTTGTTTGGTTTGATAAGGCTTTGCAGCTCTTTTTCCACAACCCGCTGAGCCCATCTTAGCCGTTTTCCCTTAACATCCTCTGTTCCTGCCGTCACTGTCGGTGATGATGATGATGATCGTCCTCTCCCTTTGGTCCTCCTCTACGCTCTGCGAGGACAGGACAGAAATCGTCTGTTTCAGTCCCACGTATTTTCTTGGACGTGCTTGCTCACGCGTTGCTTTGAAGTCCACACTTGAAACCTTCCTCCCAGGGTCCTTATCACTCCACCTGATGTGTGGATGCAGCCTAGCGGCACTGCCATCCTTGCTTTTGTCTTTCTCCTCTTTTAAGTCTCAAACAAGCTGCAAACACTTGTCCTCATCAATGTCTTCCCCTTCCCTTTTTTTTTTTTTTTTTTCGCAAACCGCTTCCACTCTCTCTTCTGCTTCTCCAGTCTTGCAGGCTGCACATTCTGTCCCATTGGTTTCAGCCTTCACATCCTGTCTTTATCCTTGTTTTCAGGCCTTGTCTCTCCAAAATGTTTCTGTCTCTTCACACATGCATCTGTACCACCCTCACTGTAGAGAGTACACATCTTCAGCACTCTTGAGAGTAAAATCCCTGAATGTGTTCGGGTCCCCTGAGACTGTACCGTTTTTCACATTCTGTTTGTTCCAATTTGCTCCAAAATGATGTGTGTGCACACAGCGTTGCCTCTGGATAAGCTACGTCTCACTTTTGTAGCCAAGCAGAAGATGGCGGCGGCAAAGAGAAAAAGCTCTCAAGAAGCAGATCCACTGATTTCTTTTGCTCCAAAGCATGAAAAACAAACGCCTCATGCTTTTGACCTTACACAATAGCTGCGTTTACAGACTTGTTAAGCTCAAAGCACTCTCTTATTGCTCATGCTTACATCAGCTTTCTATGCATTCATGAAAGTTTGTGCATTTGCTGCGTGTCCAGGTGCCCTGTGGATGTGCATTGTGCTGAACCCCCACTGCAAACCGGAGCAGAAGTCGTCGTGGCTGCGGCAGCTGCGGCGATGGAACAGCGTGGACGTCTGCCCCTGGGAGGACGGCAACCACATCAACGAGCTGCCCAATCTTACCCATTCCCTGCCCCAGGGCGCCCACGGTAATCAAGGTTAGATGTCCTGTGTGTCTTTACTTCACACATTCAATCTCTAACTTTAACATATTTCTCTTGGGATTTTTGTAATGCCATTAAATACCTTAAAAAATAAATAAATAAATGACCAGAAAAATAGTTATAAAAATCAAAATCTTGTGCATTTGTATTCAGCCTCCTTTGTTCTGATAAATAAAACAATCTATAACTAACCCTACTAACCCTAACCTTAACAGCCAAGAGACTTTTATAATAAGTAGTGCAACTGTTTGCATTTTCATCTAAGTATAAACAGATCTGTTGAGGAATTCTAAACAGGATTACATTTGAAATATCCTAATCTCTAAAAATAATCTCCCAATGCATCATTCAGTCCATCATCTCTACATGAAAACTACAAACCAACCAAGACAGGGCAGTCCATCTAAAGTGACAGGGTGAAGAAGGAGACCGTTCTGGTAAAATCAGAAGGTGGCGGAAGCTGAATGTTGGACAAACCTGGTTAGAGATTCACTTTCCTGCTGAACAAAGACCTTTCAGCTGGTAGAGACAAACTGTAGGACCTCCAGCTATAATTACAACCAAATGCATCGACTGAGGAGGCTGAATACAGACGCATAGCTAATTTCTGTGTTGTTAAAAATTAAAGACCCCTGTTAAAGAATCAAGACCCCCACAATTATGAGACCTTTACATCTTAGTGTTTTTGCTCGTAATGCAACAAAATCTGAACAAGTTTAAGGGGAAACAAAACTGGGATGATGAGAGAACCTTTAATATTTCGCTGGAAGAACTTAAAGGACATGATTTCAGCCGTGTGAAGCTGTTTGATAACTAAATAACTTCATAAATAAGCTTCCTTTCCAGTATTTTCATTTCTGCTGGAGATGATCCAGCTCTAATCTTTCCTCCCTCTCTTTCTGCAGAGATGCGCCCCCACAGGACTGTTTTCACGCGAGCCATCGAGGCCTGCGACCTGCACTGGCAGGACCGACACCTCCAGCACATCATCGCCAGTGACCTCTATGCCAACTACTGTTACCATGACAACCAGGAGGGCTCCCTCTTTGACTCACGCGGCTGGCCTTTGTGGCATGGTGAGTCTGCATATATATGTAGGTTTCAAATGGGTTCTTTAAACACTGAAGTTGGACTTTGACTATAGAACAGGGGAAGCTGGAATTATTAAAGTGGGATTTGTCTTTGCCTCAGAACACGTCCCTACGGCCTGCGCACGGGTTGACGCCCTGCGATCACACGGTTACCCTAGAGAAGCCCTCCGTCTGGCCATCGCTGTGGTGAACACGCTACGGAGGCAGCAGCAGAGGCAGCTGGAGCATTTTCGGCGACACAAAAAAGGTAGCTGAGATGCTATACAGCCGCATCTTAAGTCACAACTTGTATTAGGATTAAGAAAGAGACGCATAGAAGGATTGCAGTTGGGCGATTCTCCAGTCTGTGATGGTTAAAAAAGCCAAAATCAAAAAAGGGGAGAAAGAGAGGAAAACAAGATCCCCGAAACAAGCAGCTGAAGATGGATGGATGGATGGATGGATGGATGGATGGATGGATGGATGGATGGATGGATGGATGGATGGATGGATGGATGGATGGATGGATGGACTGTATCTGTTTAAATGAAATACTTGCATCTCTTTGTCAACCTATGATAATAAATCCCATTTGCTAAAAAGTTGCTTTTATATCTGTCAACAGATTTGCTCCTTAAAGGTCATACATCCATAACCAACATGGAGGGCTGGGTGGGACACCCTCTGGACCCTATTGGTACCCTGTTCAGCACCCTGACAGAGTCAGGAAGAGCGGGTGAAGAAGGCTCCAACACCTGCTTAGACCTCTCAGGTAAAGATGATGCAGAGCAGCAGAACTGAGCACCTATAAATTATTAAAATACTTTAATTTTCACTGAGTTCATTTTAAGTTAACAACATTTAGATAAAACAGAGTAGTTTATCTGCCGTTTCAACCACGTCTTTAGTTTGTTCTGCAGTCATGCCTTCTCAGGAGGCTGAAATTCTCCTTTCCTACACTCATGGTTGCTCAGTCCCTGGTTGCGTCCTCTGCTAACTAAAAGAACCGTCTGCATTAAGGAGCAGCCGTGTTCATATGTATTTTAGATTCTCATTAAAATAAAATAAACTAAAGTCATGTAGATTCCCCAAAAATGGACACAGACTGTTCTGTTGGCAGACTGCTCCAGCATTGTGAGCCGAGCAGAACTTCAGCGGATGCCTGTGCAGCGACTGCTGGGGGACGGTGAGTCGTACATGGCGCTGGCGGTTGAGACGGCTCTGATCGGCCTGGGCCAGCAGCGAGTGATGCCGGACGGGCTGTATGCTCAGGAAAAGGTGTGTCGCAATGAGGAGCAGCTGTTGGCCAAGCTGCAGGAAGTGGAACTGGACGACTCCCTGGTCAAAATCTTCCGTAAACAGGCCGTTATTCTGCTGGAGGGTAAGGAGTTGTTGCAGATTGATTCTTTCAGATTTACCGTCTGTTGGTTTTCATTCCTCTAAATTTCCCAGCAGTCCACTCTTGGTACAGACGCACACAAATACACACACAGAAACGCCTCCTCCCTGTCATTTCATAACCTACCCACACACAGAGAGCCGAGGCATTCCTGCTAAAACAGGAAAAACACATTTGACTCTGTCTCACTATTTATTATCCTTTCATTTTGCGGTGCAAATAGAGGCTGAGCTGTCCTGGGCCAGACCAGAATGAGCTCTTTACACAGCAACACCAGGGGTATTGTGTCAGCACACATATGCCGCTACACACAAAAGTGTGTGTGTGCGTGTATTTACAGGAGCTGGAACAGAACGAGTGGGTAATGGGAGAAAGAGGGAGGGGCAGAGATGGTGGTGGAATTGACATAGTCAGAATCCGCTGAAGTCCCCACCCAAACCCCAGCCCTGCCTTGTCCCCGCCGCGACCACCCACCTCTGGCTCCTTTGCTAATAGAGCAGCTCGGGTCTGAGGCCTCTGCGGGGCCCCAGGAGGCCTGCAGCCGCGCCGCTTTGTGATGTGGTCTGCGGCTTAGAGGCCCCGGGGGGTTTAAAATAACCCACCAGAGATGGAAGGGGCATGCAGGAAGGAGTAGGGCAGCAGGCCAAGTCTGCACACACGACCATGTTTTTTTTTTTTTTGACGTCACTGTTTTGTTTAAATGCCGCGTGGCTTCCCTGCTTCCTGCCTAGAAAAGAGAGTCTCTCCCCAGCTTACAAACCAGGAGTCATGACTCAGTTTTTCAACTGCATGAAAAGTTCCGGTTCTATAATCTTGGTTCGCCACCAAAACATCTGCTCAATCAGTTTATGGTTTTCTGTCCTTTTGCTCCCAGCTGGTCCCTACTCTGGCCTCGGAGAGATCGTCCACCGAGAGAGCGTCCCCATGCACACCTTCGCTCGCTATCTCTTCACCTCTCTGCTACCTCACGACGCTGAACTGGCGTACAAAATTGCACTGAGAGCCATGCGGTAGGTCTGCTTGTAGATGAAGTCGAACCCCTTTCATGTAGACATTACAACGGTGGTGAGCTCCTCCCTTTTCTTTAAGTAAGCAGAATTTTAAAAATAACGAACATAATCCAAACAGAAAAAGAAACAGATCTGTACATATGATTTAACAATGAAGCAAAATATCTGAAATTGCATATTTTATTATATTTATAAAATAAAAGTTTTATAAGAACAAGAGTCATTTGAAAACTTAGATGTTATTGTTTCCTAAAGTCAATAATGAAGATCAATGCAGTCTCTTTCCACCGTTTTCTCCGGTTCCATCTGTTCTACATTGGGGACGCCCCTTTTCCTAATGTCTCTGCAGGATGTCCGTCTGATTTCTCCCTGCTCTTGCTCGTGTGTTCAGCTGCGGGACAGGCGTGCGCCCGTTAATCGGCCGCCGTTGCTCTGTTTTGATGTTGTGACTTGTGGGAGCTGGATCAGTGAATATTAATTACGTTAATGATGGTGTAATTAGTGCAGCTGTAACGAGGAGGAATCACACGCACGTATACTCGAATACACACGGCGGGCCGACGGAGAGAGAGAGGGGGGGGGGGGGGGGGGAGTGCTTGTCTTTCTGAGAAGCAAAGCTGATATATTTTGTGATTCTCTCCCCTAATCAAAGAAGATCTTAGTAAGTAATTTTTCTCTGGTGTTAGTGAAGTGAAAGCAGGTTCATTTGTAGGACATAGTTCTCCCAGTCAACAGGCGGCCGAATCTTTGTGCAGGACTCCCTCCCAATGGGAGGGAAGATGGATGACAATCACCTCAGCATTTAACTTATCATCCCACACTCTCATTAATTGTTACATCCTATTATTTTATTTTTGATCTATTGTATGTTTTATTTAAACTGTATAGGAAAAAACTAAACAGTTTTGACTATGGTTTTACTGAAAAAAACGCATGTAGAGGGAAATATAAACAAAAGAGTTTAAATGGATAATGTGCTGAATACATTTAAACTATAGTTTCATGTTTGGGTTTCTCTTAGTTTTTTTTATCCCCTCAAAACACGTTTTAAAGCGTTTTCAAATAATAACTCAGAATGCATGAAAAGTACACTGGTAAAATGTTTACCAATATAGACATGTTAGACCTTGTTGGAAAGCTTAGATTCTCCGGGTTCATTTTATGGACACACCGAGCAACGAAGCACAATTAGCACAGATATAGCAGCATGTCAAAATGTACCATGACAAAGCAGCTACAACAAGCAAGCATGTCTTTATAACTGCTGTTGAAACCTATTATTTTTGACAATAAAAAAAAAACGTTGAGTCTTGTTTAAACTGATGCAGCTTGGGTGTTTTACTCACCCAATTTTCATGTATATATTCAGAAACTAGAAGGTGTTAGCTTTCAAATAATGTATCACACATATAATTTGGGCTTACAGTTCCTAAGTTATTTGCTTTTCCATTTGGGTATGCAAAATAGGCGAGATTTTCCCAAAATGAGGTGGATATTAAGAGGATAAACCTACAAAATCATTTTTCATGTATTGTTTCTCTCAGAATATTTTCCCGCTCTCCTGTAGAGTTCAATATTTATATTCAAACTGGCATTTTCAAACTAAGATCAACTTTTTGGACACAAAGTAGCTCTTTTATTTCCTCATTTTGGTCCCGGCCTTTGCTTTGCGGCATGTCTCACTACTTTCAAAATAACAAATCAAATATAAAGACCCTTAAAATTCCAAACAATTCCTGAGGACTTGGCATGACTGGAAGTGACTTTCTTGGAATATTGTAAAGGGGAAAATGGTGACACCTTTTGTTGGAATAAAGAGAAACATCGTCACCTAATGCCAATGGAGATCTGCCTTTTTTAAACTGATGTTCCCGACCGGAGAGCAGTGAGTCGGGCCACTCTCTTCCAATCCTGGCCACTTCCTTCACCTTTTCTTTTAGTCGTCTCTCCTCCTCCATCCTCACTCCTCCAGTGTGAAACCAGCGATTTAGAATAATGTGGCCACTTACGGGTGCTCCTGGGAACCAGAGGTGTCTACTCAGCACATAATGAATGTGTGTAATGTAGCGTAGTGTAATGTGATAGCATATACCTCCACGCTCCCACGGGACGGCGGACAGTTAAATATAGAGGAGGAGGTAAAGTAACCAGGGATCTTTTAATAGACCTATTATAATGCTATCATTGATAAAAGAGGAGATAAGTGTCCAACTGTTCATCCCTCAGATGGTTTTTTCTTTTCCTCTTGCTTTTTTTCAATCTGTCACAGTTGCTTCACAAGTAGTATGTGGATTATTTAAAACACTTTGCGTGTTTGTGTCTTTTATAAGGTTAATTAGTCGGTGTGACACCAGCATATGCTGGCTGATGGCTTGGTACGAGTGACCAGCACTAAAATAAAATAAATAAATGAAAAGAAGATCTGCCTGCTGCTCTGCAGGCTGCCCACAATTTGAATTCCGCCAAAGAAGCAGAAGAGGAGAGATGGTGCCTGCTGTTATCATAAGAGAAATCCAAATGAGATGCTATTTTTTTTTCAGAGCCAACAAGTCTAGATTTTTACTGTAAACTGTATAATACATGTTCCTTAAGCAAGGCAAATGTTTACTGCAGGTTGCCAGAATTTTAAAGCCAGACATATGAAGTCTTTTAAAGTGTTTAAACAATGGCATTGTAAGTGATAATTATATCTATCTGTGTTCTTTATGTTTCACAGATATGCAACTATTGCAAAAAGTCATAGTTTTTGTTTATCATGTACATAGAATAGCTTAACATTTCCTAAAACTGTCTTACATCACCACCACAAATTTCAATATAATTAATTTCATAACACTTTTTTTGTGTGGGACTGTTTTAACATACTTTACAGTCTTAAAGTGTCACAGAATTCCTCAATATTCAGCACATCAGTATTCATACCCAAGCTCAATCAGAAAGCTTCGGAGAAAAACAAACAAACGTAGAGTCCATTGCATTAAAACAATGCAAAACATGGAAAGATTAACAGTAAATCAAAGTGTTTTTTTAGTTTTTTTTTTATTAGGAACTATAAACTAAAATAAGCATATATATAATACTTGACATTTTTGGAAATATGTCAGTAAAACCCTTATTTAAAGGAGCCTGCAATTTCTGCACAACATAAATACTTTTTTTTTTTAGCTTAGAAATCTCTTATTATGTTGCTGATGGAAAAAGGTATTTTTTTAGGCATCACAGTTCTTTAAAAGAGAGATATGTACGGTTTTGGTCATGTATGACTTGGTCCTTCTTGAAAATCTCACCTTGGAAGAGTTTGTTTATACAGTTGAGGTCTTCCACCGGATGTGTGGCGTATAGCTGATAGATCTGTGCTTGATGGATGGTGAAAGTGAAGGGTGTTTACAGTCAGAGGGGGAAACACAGCGTGAGGTAAAGAGGTCAGTCGTCATGGTGATGCAGACCAGAAACCCAAAGGGCCTCAGGATTTAGGTAAAACCTATCAGGACTGCTTTGTCTCATGATCTCAGTTGAGAATTTTGGATAGATTTTTTTTTTCCTTCATATTTTTCCTTTAAAGGAGAAATGATAAAGCCTAAATTAAGTTTGGACAATATTTAACTTATTATTTTGTCTCCCAATCTCCAAGTCTCCTTATCCACAGATTGTGTATGAAAATATACATTAATCTCACAAAAAGATATTATGTCTTAATCTGTAAACAGATATACCGGTATATATTTTTTTGTTTTTAAAGACAAAGTAAATGTTTGTCTGTGTTTAAAAGAATTTGCATTGTATGTTGGATAATACAGTCCAGGTTTAAGTAATTCATTTTCTATTTATATTTTTTAATTCTCTAGTGACCCTTATGTATATAATAGAGTAAAATGCATCATTAATTTATTCTCTCAGATAGCTGCAGTCACTTTCTTAACCAAATATTTAAGAACAATACAGCATCAATTAAAGAACTACTTAATTTTTTATTATATAATTGTCTGGTTTAGACTTATTTAATTAAGAAGATTTCGACCAAACTGCGCAACACTCTAAGAACTAGAAAACAGATATGGGTTATCAAGCTTTTAAAAATATCTCTGTTCATTGTATCCGTGGTGTGGCACTGAAAAGAAAATACAAAGTAACATTTTAAAACTCAAACATTTTTTAAAAATGTTTTGTGTGGGTTAGCCATGTTCCCACAGTGCTACAAATGATTGTCACCACCCGATCAATACAAAAACAAAATCCGTACCATCGGCTCATTTACGCATGTGCAAGCAGATATTCATCCAGGTTGCCATAAATAATGTAATTATTGTACTAAAAGTACTTATTTTTATACTTGAATCAATAAACAACGCTAATACAAGTCTTCAATAAAAAATGTATGACTTTTCTGAGACAATTTGATGCTTTTTAAACTTTCTCCATTAAACTGCTTGTCTGACGTCATCATCGGACATGCTCCGGCGAAATATGATTGAACCATATTTATCTTCTTAAGGTTGACACAAAAGGAAAAAATAAAACTCAAAAAGACTAGATTTAAGTCAGCTTCTGGACGTGGTGTAGGATCCCATTTCCTGTAACGATCGGGCACAGACAAGTGATAAAAAAGAAATGATTTAAATGCATTTATTTTCTCAGGAAAAATTATTGTTATTTTTTTTACAAATTAAAATTGAGGACGACCCGAATGTATATCTGGTATTGCATGCGCAAATGAGCTGATGGTGCGAATCGTGTTTCCGGTATGGATAGTGACAATGATCCCTACCTCATTGCTACAAGGCTTCTCTGATACTTTTGTCACTGAATGTTATCTGCAAGCCCAACAAAATCTTTATTTATTCTCATCGACGCAACAGGGCAGCAAATCAAGAACTGCTCCCCCAAATACAGTACATTCAATATATACACTGTATTGCCAAAAGTATTTGCTCACCTGCCTTGACTCACATATGAGCTTAAGTGACATCCCGTTCCTAATCCATAGGGTTCAATATGACGTCGGTCCACCCTTTGCAGCTAGAACAGCTTCAACTCTTCTGGGAAGGCTGTCCACAAGGTTTAGGAGTGTGTTTATGGGAATTTTTGACCATTCTTCCAGAAGCGCATTTGTGAGGTCGCACACTGATGTTGGACGAGAAGGCCTGGCTCTCAGTCTCCGCTCTAATTCATCCCAAAGGTGTTCTATCGGGTTGAGGTCAGGACTCTGTGCAGGCCAGTCAAGTTCATCCACACCAGACTCTGTCATCCATGTCTTTATGGACCTTGCTTTGTGCACTGGTGCACAGTCATGTTGGAAGAGGAAGGGGCCAGCTCCAAACTGTTCCCACAAAGTTGGGAGCATGGAATTGTCCAAAATGTCTTGGTATGCTGAAGCATTCAGAGTTCCTTTCACTGGAACTAAGGGGCCAAGCCCAGCTCCTGAAAAACAACCCCACACCATAATCCCCCCTCCACCAAACTTTACACTTGGCACAATGCAGTCAGACAAGTACCGTTCTCCTGGCAACCGCCAAACCCAGACCCGTCCATCAGATTGCCAGATGGAGAAGCGCGATTCGTCACTCCAGAGAACGCGTCTCCACTGCTCTAGAGTCCAGTGGCGGCGTGCTTTACACCACCGCATCCGACGCTTTGCATTGCACTTGGTGATGTATGGCTTGGATGCAGCTGCTCGACCATGGAAACCCATTCCATGAAGCTCTCTGCGCACTGTTCTTGAGCTAATCTGAAGGCCACATGAAGTTTGGAGGTCTGTAGTGATTGACTCTGCAGAAAGTTGGCGACCTCTTCGCACTATGCGCGTCAGCATCCGCTGACCCCGCTCCGTCAGTTTACGTGGCCTACCACTTCGTGGCTGAGTTGCTGTCGTTCCCAAACACTTCCATTTTCTTATAATACAGCTGACAGTTGACTGTGGAATATTTAGGAGCGAGGAAATTTCACGACTGGATTTGTTGCACAGGTGGCATCCTATCACAGTTCCACGCTGGAATTCACTGAGCTCCTGAGAGCGACCCATTCTTTCACAAATGTTTGTAAAAACAGTCTGCATGCCTAGGTGCTTGAATTTATACACCTGTGGCCATGGAAGTGATTGGAACACCTGATTCCAATAATTTGGATGGGTGAGCAAATACTTTTGGCAATATAGTGTATATATATATATATATATATATATATTTTTTTTTTTTATTTTTTTTTTCACAATGTGCCCCAGTTTTTTTGCATATTTGAATGTTTTCCCTTTCTAACACTATTTCTGTTTTTTTTTTACAAACAGTTACTTAAAAAGCTGACAGATAAACGTGTTTTTAGCGAGGCCTTGTTATTATCTATCTCAAAAATGGCTCTCACAGATATACAAGGTGAGTGTCACTACCCGATACGTCACGGAAGCACGATCCGTTCTGCGCATGCGCGAATAGATATACATCCGGGTGTAAATAAATAATGTAATTATGGTACTAAAACTACTTATATCTATCCTTAACTCACTAAAGAATACTAATAAACATCTGTAAAAAAATGTTTTATAACTTTTGTGAGACAAACTATATAGCATAAGGTTAAAACAAAACGAAAACAAGACTAGATTTATGTTTCAATCCAAAGCCCAGTGATAAAACAGGATTTTAAGGCATCTTTTTTTGTTAGGAAATACATTATTAACATTATATTTTAGCACGTTTACAATTTTGGGAGGGAAAACATTATTTAGGTATTTTTATTTATTTTTATATTTATATTTTTATATTTATGGCTTAAAATAATAGCTTAGACTTATTTCAACAGGGAACGTCACCTGCTGAAAAGTTTTATTTTGATGAGAAGTATCTTAGCAATTTGATATTGCCCCATAATCTTGATAGTTATTTATGATACCTTTTTTTAATCAAAGTGGTTGTAGAGAAAAGGTGATTTAATTTGTTTATCATAGAGCTGTTATTTTACTTGAGTTTGTTTGCTATTGTTATTGTTTCTGTGTAAAGCATGTCAGGACTGTTTAGTAAAACATGTTAAGTGAGAATGAAGCAATAAAATAAAAAGTCCTTGTGCTTTTTTACTCTGCAGTGCACGAAGACTTTTTTCATCCCTTTTTATTTATTTTTTTTGTTTAACTTTTTTTTTCCCTCTCGAAACAATGACCCAGTGAAACGTTTTGCTCCAAAATCATTTGAGGAAGCTTTGTTAGTAGGACCGTCCTTATCCAATAGAGGCTTTCTGGTGCAAACCAAACAAAGACAGGAATGTTGATGAGGCCTTCGTCTTTACTCAAGGCTCTCTCTTTTTAAAAAATGTCTCTGTGCTGCAGCCCAGGCATCTTCCAGAAGGCCCCAGTGTGGTAGCAGCTCTTCGCCTATATGTGGCATGAACCCTGCTGTTGCGGGAGCTTTCGAACATGTCCGTTTCGCGGCAAGTGCCGACGTTCACACTTTTGTTTTGTTCTTTTTATCACCCTTGCTGTCTGAGAGCTGAGCCCCCTCTTTTGCTCTTGTAGCCAAAAGCAAGCAAAGACAAGGCTGTTTTTTTTTTTTCAACTTGTGCATGCCTTCACTCACGTGGCAGTGAGATCACACACACTTTTGCTCTGAAATTGAAACTGGCATTTAGCATCACGTTGCTTTTACTGGGCAGCTTTGATGTGTTTTCAAAAGGGCAGGTGTGTATGTGTGTGCGGCTCTCTTCACTGATGTGTGTTGGTATTTGTTTGATGTGTGTCCAGCCTTACAGGGCTGGAAGGTGAATTCCTTAATTTCCCCACGGACTCAATTAGCTTTGTGATTGGCTGAGAGAAGGCCAGGTTGTGCCGTCTTCTAAAGAAAAGAAGACCTTTGAAACTGAGGTGGGAGCGGAGGCAGGAAAGAAAAAGAGAAAAAAAAGGTGAAGCAGAATAGCAGATGAGCAGGCCACAGTGGTAATCGTGTGGTGCTCCTGATGCTCCAGAAGACTCAGCCCTGTCTGGATTATTATAATGAGAGACAGAAACCAGAGAAGCTCCTCGATCCTCCAGCAGGTGTTGCACAGCTCTGACTTCATTATAACCAATTAGAGTGAAGAAAATACTAATTATACCTTAGTTTCTAGGTGATTAAATGGTAGGTTGAAAGTAAATTGCAGGGATAGGGTAACTGAAATCCCCCCGGTGGCGACTTAAGTCATTTTCATTTTGAAGTCACACAAAGAGCGCCATAATGAAGACTTTTTCTGTCTATGCTGTATCTCTGTCTGACTGCCTGTTAGACTAAAAAAGAAGGGGGGATTTCATTATGATGTTGATCATTTGAGCAACTTTAATGTGGTTCTCTCTGATCACCAACCCTCATTTATCTTGCCTGCACTTTTTCCTTATCTTGAGTTTTTTTTCTCCATCATTTGTTGAAAGTTTCTAATTATTAGAGTAAAACTTTAACTTCGATGCCATATCTTCAAAGAAAAAAACATGTTTTTTAAAAACACTTTTTTTCCCCCTGTGTTTCTCCATCAGGTTGCCTGTGTTGGAGTCCACGGCATCATCTGGTGACCTCTCACGACCTCACCACATTGTGTCTGTAGTTCCAAACCGCTACCCGCGCTGGTTCACGCTGAGCCACATAGAGTCTCAGCAGTGTGAGCTGGCCTCCACCATGCTCACTGCGGCTAAAGGTGCACATTCACTTGCAAAGTTGTTTGTAAAAATGGCTTATACTTATTGTTACCAGGGTTGTTTTTTGACAGCCATCTTAATTTTAGTCCTAGTCTTCAGGACGAAAACTATTATTAGTCTTGGTCACATTTTAGTCATTACAATATGTGATAGTTTTAGTCAGGTTTTAGTTGACTAAAACTTAAAAAGGTTTTGGTCTAGTTTTAGTCAGTTTTATGTTGCAAAATGTTAACCTTTACAATTTCGAATAACAACCAGATTCTTTACCAGACTGGCAGCTCTTGCCTAGATACTACTATTGCTTGGCATATAATGCTGCTCTGTCGTTCATCATTGCTGTTGGGGAGAAAACTTTGATTTATAGGATTCAAATAAACTTTTTTATGAATTAATGCCCTACTTTATACAAAAGTGTCTCACAATAATTGTGAAAATAGCTGATCTAGTTCAACACATCATATTTTTTAAATATAGCAGACAGACAAGCTAACAAAATTTACAATAAAATAATGGTTCTAGACATACAAGGTTTCCATCTCAAAGCAAAAAAACTTCCTGATCTACTATGAATTGTGCATTACACACAGATCAATAAAATCCTACTTGCTCCAAAAAAGCAAAGAACAAAAAAAAATGTTCTTTCCTCTGCAATTTTTGCCTTTTTCTGAGAATTTCCCCCATTGTTACCAATGCTCAAGGAGATTTAAATTCAAGGGGTTTTGATATAAAAACAAATACAGAGAGAACCTACATATTTGCCTTTTAATGCCATTGCAATCCAGATCTAAATTGAATGAATATGCTAACTAAAATGTTGACATATTTTAAGGAAATAGAGAAAATGTTTTAATGACAATACATAGAAACATTTACATCATATTTAAATAAATAGAAACAAGAAAAATGAGAGAGAAATATTCAAAGATCTATGTACCTTCTCACCTGGCTCTTTATCCAAAAATAAACAATGCAATTAAATATTTTCTCAGGTTAAAATTTAGGGATTCCTCTTGGTAGAAATTAAAGAATGTTTAGCATAACCTCTTGTGCGCTGGAAGAAATAAAATCTTGATAAACTAAGGGTTTTTTACGCTTGGCAGAGGATGATCAGTCATATAGTTTATTAAGTAGTGAGAGCAGGAAGAGCCATACTGCTGAGAGCGAACCCTCGGTGTGGAGGGAGAGAAGCGCAGACTATGAGCCAAGCGCACACAAAGACGCATTTCTACACAAGCACAGACAGAAGGGCAGAATTTATCAAAGTTCAGCACACAGTTCCGTCAGACACCCGGACCATTCTGGATTATTTTCGCCCTGCTGCTGCCATGATCCATCTGTGGTCATGCAGAATGAACACAGCTGCCCCAAACATGATGCAGCAGCACGGCTGATACCGTTCAGCAGCACAGTGATCCATTTTAAATGTCTGACCGACTACCCGGTAATTTTTATTTGGTCTCGTCTCATCTCGTTGTCTAAAATTCACACCGATTAACACTCAAGTTTTCGTCAACAAAGATCCATATTAACCTTGTCAGTTCTCGTTATTATCTTTTATTTTTTAAATGGAGAGTCCACAAAATAATTTCGTCTTCCTCATCGTTGATAAAAAAAAAAAAACACATTGTTACCCCTGATTTAAGAGTTGTTGTTTCTTTATTAGTTTACACTCATGTCAGTTTTACACCTTTCTTTACTGTTTACAGTAGTAGCCGTTCAAAATTTCCCCACTAACTTGACGGGCCCTTGGCTGGTCCCCTAAGGTTACTTTTTAAACATCAGTCTTTGTACTAAAATATTCTTTCTGTCATGATTTGTGAACATTACGATCTAAAGAGAAGCGCCTTCTTCTGGTCAGACCCTGTAATTCAGTGACTGGGAAGGGTCATTTTGAATGCCTGCTACTGTACCAAAGTAAAGATCTTATTCTGAAGGTAGTTTAAAGATTTTCAATAAGAAAGCATCACATCTTTTCATTTTTAATGTTTTCCCAAAAAGGATTTATGAAACTTCACAAAATGTATGAAATTCTAATATTTTACTAATAATATTATAATCTGGCATTCGTATGTGTTTCATTAAATCAGTTTTTGTTCAATAATGTACTACCTTGTTAGCAAAGCACCTATTAATGCTGATATGATGTAGAACATTAACTACACATCTATGGGTCCTAATAATTGTAGTCAGTTATACATAATGTTAAATATATTTCTGAGATTTTTTTTGACCTTTCTCTGCTCTCTGTGTGCTTTCAAGGTGACAGTCGCAGATTAGAGACAGTCTTGGAGTCCATCCAGAAAAACATTCACTCCTCGTCTCACATCTTCAAACTGGCACAGGACGCCTTTAAGATCGCCACTCTCATGGACAGCCTGCCGGACATCACTCTTCTCAAAGTTTCTCTGGAGCTTGGCCTGCAGGTGTGCAAACACATCTCCACCGTAGGTCAAAACGACCCGACGCCTCCAGCTCTAAACACAAGGAGGATGTTTGGCCTGATCATATTGACTAATAGGGTCAAATTAGGATGCAGTCTCAGTTTATTTTAGTCTACAAGTTCTAATCACAGACTGGAAGAAAGATCAGTTCTCAGTAAGCTGAAATGCATTTACTCATGCACACAATTACAATGTAGAGTTACAGCTGTTTCTGAAATGTCTGGACGTTGTTGTATGGGGTTTCATTCCTGTATCTACACATTTAATCAAAATGTATGTGCATTACTGTTCTTTTTCTCCAGACTTAACGATATATAGTATTAATTCCTTGCAATGCTGCATGTGACATTCACCACTTAGTGTGAATAATGAAGTCATACAGTCTACACAGATTTCTTTTTGATGTTATCATTTTCAGGAAGAGATATACTAATAGTAATAGTATAGTAAACACTAATAAATAAATCTTTTTTTACCAAGAAACTAATTTCATTCCATCTTTTTGAAAAAGATAAAAACTAAGTTCATATTTTTCTGTTGTATTCCATTTTGCCCTAAATATCTTACCCTTAAATTATCCATATACAGCCTTATATGAACAGATACATTCTTGCTTCATTAATTTATCCTTTTTATTAATGTCCTAGCCTATGTTTCACTTTATTTTTTATGGTTTATATATATTTGGTTGATCATATTGATTATATCGAATCGATTATATGTTATTTGATGTTATATTCTTAGGTTTTCATTTCATTTTATTCCATATTTCTGGTTTCCTTTTTACTTTTATTCTGTAGTTATTTATTTAGATCAACAACAAATCCGAGTACATGGCAAATTACAGAGATATTTTTACCTGCCTGTTGGCTGCTCAGGTGTGTGCTAACACCAAGTCCACACCACATTTGGTATGAGGGGTCGAAGCTGGATAATCTCAGACCATCTGCCAAGGTATACTTCAAGGCCCGTGGTTTAGCTTTTGATCGTAGCAGCTTTAAGTGCAATCCACCGCGGGTCCATCCCTAAAGCTTGGACTTTATTTGTTCAAAAAGATCCACAAAATAATGACTGAAAAATTGGCAGAAATCATAGCAACAAGTTGTTGCAATGATGAAGGCAGAGTCCAGACTTCAACATAATTGAACTTAAGCGAGGCTGTTTAGGAGGTTAGTGGGAATAAAAACTAGGATAGAAAAAAAAAAGAAAAGAAAGTTAAATAAAAATTAATGACAAGGCACCCCTCATGCGTATTAATGGTCTCTGGCTTTATAGCTTTTCAAGTAAAGAGTTTGCATATAAACTGAACTGGTTGGGGTTTTGGTTCTCCAACTCACCTGTCACTCCTTTCTCCATTACTTCTTGCCTTCTTCAGGTCATGAGAATAACTCTGTCCACATTAAACTGGAGGAGGAGAGAGATGGTTCGCTGGTTAGTCACATGTGCCACTGAAGTTGGTAAGTCTCATTCCAAGACGGGTTAGATCCACGTTTTCAAACATATCCTCATTGTTTTATTGTGTCCTCCAGGTGTGTATGCACTGGACAGCATCATGCAGAGCTGGTTCACCCTCTTCACCCCCACAGAAGCCACCAGTATCGTGGCCACCACCGTTATGTCCAACAGCACCATAGTTCGCCTGCACCTGGACTGCCACCAGCAGGAGAACCTGGCCTCCTCCGCCCGCACGCTCGCCCTGCAGTGCGCTATGAAGGACCCTCAGAACTGCGCCCTCTCTGCTCTCACGCTCTGCGAAAAGGACCACATTGCCTTCGAGACAGCTTACCAGATTGTACTGGACGCTGCAGCAACGGGAATGAGCTACACGCAGCTGTTCACCATTGCACGCTACATGGAACACCGTGGCTACCCGATGCGGGCGTACAAGCTCGCGACGTTAGCCATGGCTCACCTGAACCTCAGCTACAACCAGGACACACACCCCGCCATTAATGACGTCCTGTGGGCCTGCGCACTCAGTCACTCGCTGGGCAAGAACGAACTGGCCGCCGTCATCCCCTTGGTGGTTAAAAGCGTTAAGTGCGCCACCGTGCTGTCTGACATTTTGCGGCGGTGCACACTGACCACCCCCGGGATGGTGTCGGCGCTGCACAGCCGCAGGAACTCTGGGAAGCTGATGTCTTTGGACAAAGCGCCGCTCAGGCAGCTGTTGGACGCTACCATTGGGGCCTACATCAACACCACGCACTCGAGGCTCACGCACATCAGCCCGCGGCACTACAGCGAGTTCATCGAGTTCCTGGGGAAGGCCAGGGAGACTTTTATGATGGCTCACGACGGACACATCCAGTTCACCCAGTTCATAGACAACCTGAAACAGATTTACAAGGGCAAAAAGAAACTGATGATGTTAGTGCGGGAGCGATTCGGCTGAGGGCGAGGCTCCTCTTCCACTCTAGTACTTTTCTATTAACTTGAGTCTGCCTTTTGAACTTTTTTTGGACTAATGGACAGGTAAGAGGGATGTGACTTGTAGAATGAAGCAAAACCAGAACGGAAAAGAGGAGAAAAAAATCCAGAGCCACATGCGGTATTATTGTTCTTGCTGTTGTTATTGTTATAAACATTATTGCTATTATTATTATTATTATTACTATGATTAATATTATTACTACTATGTGTACAGAAGCATTTTTATTTTTAAGAAGAGAGGAAATTTGTCACATTGTGAATGTTGTGCGTACTTCTCTACATGTGTGCGAGATGAAAATGAAACGTGAAATGGCTTTTTTTTGTTTGTTTTCTATATTTTTATTATTTTTTTTTCAAACATTCCCCCCCCCCCACTATCAATGTATGTTGAGTTTTACTTTAATGAGTGGCTGAAGCCTTTGTACAATAACGCTCATGTTTAAAAAAAAAAAAAAAAAAAAAAAGAAGAAAAAAAAAAGACCCATTTCAACGTCTCTGTATCCTCAAAGAGAAACTAAGGCTTTAAAATTACACAGAGCACCTCCCTATGGTCTAGGCCCTAGCTGATGGGCACTGGGCAGCATTGCACAGCTTAGCTCGGCTCGACACAGCTTGGGTTAGCACTGATATAAAAAAGGCGCCATCAGCATTTCCTCACTCATAGCAGCAGCACTTGAGCTTTCTCTGGGTCGCTCTATACAACAACGCTCTTAACTAAATCTTGTTGTTAATGTTATTATTATTTTTGTTATACAATTTTACCCACCCGATCTCAGTCGGAGGAGCTGTAGTGATGACACGTCAAAAAAGCAAAGTATTAAGTTGATGTAGAGCAGCTGGAGCTCTTTACCACTAGAAGCAGAACTGATTATTTCGGTCTTTCAGGAGTATTTATGCCGCTTAAACTCTGTACTTGGTGTCAATTGAACCACAAACATAAATGGATGTTATGAAGAATTTAAAAGTCTGACATTTATATCCATGCATCACCCCCTAAAAGATCATCTTTGTTCTGCTGGGATGTTTGTTCAACCTCCACCCTGGTTTTAACTTTATTGCAGCGTCCAACAGCTTTTCTCCCAACATTTGGCTCAGTCCATCAATCTCTGTCTCATTTGACCTGAGGACCTTTCTCCACTTGTTTTGGACTCTGTAAAATGAGACTTCTTATTGCGCTTTTTAAGCTCAACTTACTTCTCGGCCCTTTCCCTTAAAACGATAATTGTCGATTGCACAATTAGGGTTGGGGTCAGCTTTATTCATATGTAACATAGAAAAAATATGTTGCACTACACTAATCAGACACATGAGTACTAAAACCTTAAGCCAAGATGCAACAGTGAAATTGAAACAGTGAATTGTGCTTTTTCCCCATAATGATGTTGCTGACATCCTCTTAGATGCTGTTTGTGCACTAATGCTCTCTAGGCCTAACAGAGTAAAGGGGGCTGAACACATGATGCATGCCACACTTTTAAGACTTCAAATCAGTACTTAAGTAAGGGGCTCCATTACATATTTCACGTCAGAAATTCCTGGGCGGGTGACTACCTCATCATTCGCTATTGAACATGCTCCCAGTTGTTGCTTTTATGATATTTAGTGATTATGATAGCTGACAGTGTTAATTAAAAAGTTCTTCAGATCCAATCTAGAATGGAAACAAAGTGTCAGACTCCTCCTTAAGGTCCTTTCTATGCTCTGCCGCCCCTCCCTCATACTCGCAGCGTTCGCTGCAAGGTTGTTTTTTTTTTTCCAACCCTGGCCAGTGTCATTTTCTTCTGTGCATGTGAATCACGGACATTCAGACTGTCTACTGTTATATTTTGTCACATGGAACATTCAGCAACCGGAACGTTCTCAGGGATTTCTCTACGCAGGAAAAAAAAAACGAAAAAAGAAAACAGTGGAACAAAACGAGCGTCTCACTTCGCCAATGAAAGAGATTGAAAAAAAAAAAAAGAACAGAAACACAAAACGACATGAGCAAGCATTTATTGTACTCTGTATATATGCCATAATATATGTCTGAATATGGAGGATCTGAAAGTATATGTTAACTAATTTATACAGAGTATTCTATGTAATGTGAAATACTTGAAACCGCTGTAGTTTGCTCTCTGGCTCTCCATCTCTTTCTCTCTTTTTTTGTCTTCTTGTTTTTTCCCTCTTCTGTTCAAAGCGACATATCCGAAAGACTAGCATGATCTTCTTGAAGATATTATTTTGAAAAAGCCGTCACATTTGAGACCTTAGATTTCGGTCAGAAATTGAGGACGATTCTTGGAGAAGATGACTGTGCTTCATTCCTGCTGATTGAGGGAGGAATCTACTTCAGGTTACTGGTCAGCAAAACACAATTTCCTAAGATACTGATTTATCTCAGTTATCAGGAATATCTGCTATGAAATCCTGTTGGAAAACCTTGAAGTTACTTTTGGGGAATCTGGTTTAAAATGTTTTTTCTCCAGCCTTTTTATGCATTTCACAAAGTTTACCAACTGCATTTCCTCTCATTTTGTAAAAATTATGACCGCTGCCAGTGGAGTTTCAGCATAAGAGTAAGGAAAATAATTATTTTTTGCAATCACACACAGGTTCAGAGCTCCAGTATCACAAATCTTGCTTTTGGAACGTGAGTCTCCTCAGTTTGTCCTTCAGGCACTGCAGAATTTCCAGGATCTCCTCTTTGAAGTCCAACGCTTCTGTTTCATCATTAGTAGCTTTTTTTTTTTTTTTTTTTTTTACCAAACTTCTGATTTTTATTTCTTGTTTTTGTCTTGTCTATGTTGCGTTGATTAAATATAAAAATCTGCCTTTTCTCTTGCCTTGTCTTAACGCTTTAAAGTAACCAAACAGAAGATCTATCTAACAACCAAACGCGTTTGAAAGAGGTGAGAGACAAGCAACCTATTGGTCCCAGCTTTAGTGTCCTTAATTAGTAAGTGAATGGCTGTGTAACTCCATGCTTTAACAAAGCAATTCCTCACGCCTGTTTGATGGAAAAAAAAAAGAAAAGAAAAAAACGTCGTCCAGTGTCTCTAGTTCTCTTTGGAAACAATTTCCTCTTGAGTCGTCGAGCTGTTTTTCTTTTTTTTCTCTACTTTTTTTGGTTTGTGTAGGAATCTTCTGCTCTCCCGTTTTATTTATTACAATGACACATGTATACATGCTTATGAAATTAAGATTTGATACACCGATATCAATTTATTTATGTAACTAAATCACTGTTTTATAATCTTGTTAATGAGTCAATAATTGATTTGTTTTTTTGTTTTTTTTTTGTTTTAATAAAAGTTAGTTTTTTGAACTGTAAATAGAGTGAAGCATGCTGTTTCATCTAAAGTCAGAAGTTTACATACACTTCTCATCTACATTAGTTTAATGAGCCTAATGTTGGCAACTGAACCAGGATTATGCAAAAAAACGAGTTCAATGAGTTTTAAAAAAAAATTTGGGGGGAATATAGATGATTTACTTTAACCCACAGAGGATTGAAAGACACCATTCAGACATACTGATTATTCACATAATTCATGCACACATTTCTGTAAATCCTCCATCATAAACCATCAAAAAATCAGGAGAAATCAGCAATTTAATCAGGAAGTGAATTTTGGACCTCTGTCTCTGTCTGGTTCATCCTTAGATACAGTTTCTGATGGAAAAAGTTGCCAGGCATTCAGACATTTAACTGAATATTATTGGTGAAGAGATGTTCAACTCTCAAACATCTCATGAAGAAATTAATTTGTCTCAAAGGTGAAACAGGTTCGTTTCTAAATTAGTATAGAAACCCCATACCAAAATTCAAAGGAATCCCAAAAATGCTGAATTAAGCTTGGATGAAATATCTGATTTATATACTTTATTTCCATTTTTTAAACTTACAGAGTGACTAAGGTTATCCTGGGCTATTTCTGCACCCTATTGGCTTGATATGCTTGAGGTAAACATTTCCTCTTGCTCTCCTGCTACTTTGCCAATGTGCATCATCTGCAATTAGCTCCACCATTAACCCTATACCTCTTCTATTTTTCAATCCCTTTTTAAAGAAGTGACACCTGACCTGGTGTTTCAGTGAAGATGTGCCTGCTTTTTGTCCGTCGGCCAAGCTATAGCTACAAATATCTTCCTGATCTCTCTATACATTATATACTTGACCATGTTAACTCCATTTATTTCCTTGAAATACACACTGAAAAAGCTTATTCTCCCTTTAGCTACATGCATTTTTATTTTTAACCTGTAGGTTTTATTACTAATTTGGAAACAGTATTTGGTGTATGGCTGTGTATTTTGAACCTATTCTCCTTTTCAAAGCATAAGCCGATTGCTGCAGATGGCTGTTCACAGTGTGCCTCTGCTGGAAGTCTTTTGCTGTTAAAGGAAAGCCTTTCCTTTCAACTGTTGCTAGAAGCATGCATGCTCAGCTGCAAATTTTAACAAGTTAATGCCATTAACTGTCCAGTCATGTTCCTGGTGGTTCTCAGGTCCTTCAATTAACTGAAATTTCAACTGTGATCTCTAGAAAACTAGAAACTTTTCTAGAATATACAGTTGTGCTTGAAAGTTTACATACCCTTCTGTTAAAGACAGAAAAAGTCAGCTGCCAGTAAAATGAATTGAAATTGACAAAAATGATAATTAATATTAACAAATGGAAACCATGATATATATATATAGATATATATATATATATATATATATATATATATATATATATATATATATATATATATATATATATTGGTGTTTTGTGTAATGTTCAGGAAACATGAATTGAGGCTACACTTGTTGACACATATGTTCGTTCACTGTTGATGAGCAAGGTAGTTTAATTTGTCTGTGATAGTTTGTTTTTTGGAATAATAATTTTTTGAATAAAAATTCTGAATCGATATTTAAAGTTATAGGGGAGGATGTTCTTTTTCTGGGTGCATCATAAAAATAAGTGGTCCTCCTAATTGTCAATCATCCTGGTGATATGTTTAAGTAAGCCTGTCCTACTCGCTCGCCCCTATTTTCCCTTCCCTTGGGTGAGTCTGAAATAGTGAAAAAATTGCAAATCTTCTTTTGGAAAGTAAGCTTGTATGAGCAATGCAAACAACTTTTAAACAGAGTGTGCATGAGGAGAAATGGGCTCATGCATGCTTTCGCATGTGTTTAATAGGCATTCCCTCTCTGGAGCGGGTACAGAGTTGTGCATGTGCATCTTATTTTTAAAGTGGAGAGGGCGGTTCTTTTAAAAAATTCACGATAATCCTCCACTATACTTTTAATTTTACTAAATTATCATTTAGTCAGTTTTTATTATTACTTTTTTCAGCTTTGTTTTATTTGAATACTAATGTGAATTTATATTTTAATTTTTTATGGTAGACTTCAAGCACAACATTGTAAAGGAAACCATGTAATAGAGAAATCAAGTAATTTCATTTTTTCAGCTTAAAGGTGCCCTTATTATAAGATGTTACATTTGTTGGCACACAGTGCTTATTGCAACACTTTAATGAAGGC